CCCCTGTCGTCCAATCTCCGTGAAAGTCAAGGCTTATTCGGTGCTTTCAGCAATGTCCATTTTCCGATAGAGGGATGAGTGGTGGGCGTGTCGGACGATAATGAGGACGATTACAACGTGCACAGGTTGCATACATCCGGGTCCTAGCCCTCTGTCTCACAAGCTCAGCTCCCCTATTAGCATAATATACAGACCACGCCCATCTGAAAGATGCACGTGCGTTTGGAAAGGAACTAGTCTCTCGATTGTAATAAATGTATTCCTCAATTTTTCTTCTGTCGAGCCAGATTGATTGGTTTTTCGACCATTTAGGAGGAGGGTTTGGTGGTGGGGTGGAATGGGGGCTAGGGTTAAAAAAGTTCTATCAGCATCTAAATTGCCTTATTGCTAGCATGCTTCTCATACAGATGCAACGTTTTTTCAATTAAGTCTGCGACCAGCGCTATCGTGTTGATTGTTTGAACGCACCTAAACGTGTGCAGGGCGCACATTATTTTCAACTAGTGAAGCGGTGTTGCGTGAGGGATTAGATGAATGTGTGTTAGTTCTCATCTCGGGGGTAACTACGACATCGGGTGAAAACTTTCCGAGAAGGTGAACAATCCAAACAGTTCGCGCCGCAGGTGCAAGCTTCCTCGCTCATGGAAGAAGTTCTGCTGAACACGAGACTGAAACTCTGAAACTGTAGCATATTTTAATGAAGGTGTTTTTACGTGGGCACAATTAATAAATTTAGATAATTTCAATCAAGAGGCAAAATTCTGACCCTGCCTGAAAGGGCTTACCCAGGCTGAGAGGGATACAATATCCCAGCTAATATTATGGCCGAGTACTCAATAAAAGTTTCTGTCTTATCTGGAACCGTATTATGGTTTCTAGTGGGACATGAGAGCGAATAATAGTCATGGGCACAGTGAAAAAGAAAATAGCCCCCCCCCCAAAAAAAAAAAGAAAACACCCAACAAAACAAAACAATTAATTATGTTCGGTAACAATTGGGATTGCATCTTTTTATAGACATAAATAATATGCCTTGCGATGGTAACTTTTAAGAGTGATCAGGGATGGCAATTTAAAAAAAATGTTTTCCATTGTCAGTTTTTCGGTTTGATTTATAAAATGCTTTCTTTTGCTATAGATGGTAACACTGTGTATCAAAGAACTTAATATATTCAAATTAATTTTAGTCTATATATGCTGTAATTTGTTTACAATTAACTTTCAAAGTTGTATTGTGATTGTTGAGGGACATTTCAAACGTCTTTCTTTCTTTTCTTTTTCTTCTTTTACTTCGAAATAATTCACAAGGGAGTTATTCGAGAAGAGTTAATGTACCATGCATATTTTTCTGAGTTGTTTTTGCGTGTGTGTGCTATAAATGTTTGATTAAACAATTTTTAAAAATCTATCATCCAGCTATATAGAGCTATAGTACGGTTCCTAATCTCAAAAATTACTTTTTTTCGTTCTTGTTTGGTGCGGTACTACTTTGAACACACTGACGTGCCCCCAGGCAGTGCTACTGACTAAAGTGTCTTTAGGCCATTCCCAAAGGGGGCATTTCTCGTTCTTATGCACAGTAGAATTATAATTGTAAATGGGCTGATTCATCAATGTCACGCCCGTAACTGTGCCTGAACTACAACAGGGAACTGCTGCTTTTTTTTCCGTAATCCTAACTATCGTCATTTTCCTCTACTCCTCTTGTATGTTTGTCACACTCTTGTGACCCGTTATTTCCGGGGTGCTTTGAAAGTCGAAATAGACTTTGTGCTGTTGAAGCTAGAGAGGTGAGCAGAGTATGCCCGATTCCTTGTAAAGACTTCTCTGTTGACATCCACCCCTTGGCGCGCATATGACTTTATGCAGTTGCGAGCACGGTAAAACCTCTACTATTAAAAAATGACGTCACTTAATAAATGTAACGTCCGATTTAGCACACCATTCACTGTGTCTGTGGTGAAGCAGGTAGGCACTTCACCGTGGCAGGCAGAAGAAAACACATCGATTAACGTGTAGGGTTTTTTTCTTGTCTATTTATCAACTAAGTGTCTCGGTCTGTCAGCTGTGCATGGGACTTGTATCACTTTAGTTTAGTTTTAGTAGAGTTTTTACGATGCTCGCAACTTTATAAGGTTATTTGAGTGCCAACTTGCATCCCTGTTATACATTCGGAGACCAAAACATGATCCTCAAGGCGATCATTTCGTATCCAGATACCTTGTCACACACCTTGTCCTCAGTGCTGGGGTCACTACAGTCGGAACATGTTCATCTGAGCTCCCCCCCCCCTCTTCAGGATCCATCCCAGAGTCTGTCTGCTTACAGTCTCCATCATAATCTGGTTGGAGATCCATCGGGTTGGTCCGCACAGGTGGCTGTGTTTCCCTTCTCCTCTTTGGATCCCCTTCTCCTCCAATCTACCTTGGGTGTGGGAACCACTAACTGTCCCATTCTTCCTCAAATTTTCCCCTACAGTGGTTAAGGACGGTTGGTGGGTCCAGTGTCAATTTCCCTCCCGCTTTTGCTTCTCCAGACAGCTTGTCTGCTCTCTCGTTGCCAGTTGCCCCTGCGTTGCCGGGGCAGAAGATCCATGCCACTCTTTCCAGGCTCCTCTCTCTGATTCTCGCCTTCCAGTCCACATACAGCATCCCTTTTTGTACCTTCTGTATCAAGATAAACGTTTACAAAACAAACACGTACGCTTCATGCATTCACAATAACAACATACAAACAAAGAATTAAACCTGTTCTTAGAAACGAGGTTTTTGTGCCTTATAGTAATAAATAGAATAAAAGTTAAAAAAGAAAAAATAACAGTGAACGAAGCATTGTAATCCTGTCTTATTCATCGACAATAGAACATGTAATACGACATACTGAAAACAAAAACAATCCAACCTTCGCACACCTACACTCTCTCAATCACTCGCTCACTTCGACCCTCTCCTCAATTGATCAATGAGTGAGTACGAGAGGTTAGACCGTGAGTGGCAATGTGTGGGGTCCTCGCAGCGCACGTGCCACGCGTCTGAGTCTGAGTGAGGGACTGTCCACTCGGAGAGAGTGAGTGAGAGAGAGAGTGAGTGAGGCTGTTTTGTGCAGCAAGTTGGAGAGCCAGCTGGCCAATTTGTGTGCTGGAATCTCTCTCTCTTTCTCTCTCCTCCTCTCTCTCCCCCTCTCTTCCTCTCTGTCCCCCTCTCTTCCTCTCTCTCCCTCTCCTCTCTCGACTCTGCTGCTCACACATCTGCTGAACGTGCATAAACGATGTTTTCATGCGTGCGTGCGTGCGGTAACAATAGGGTGGAGAATGTCATTATTGTTGTGATTTTTGTTCTTGCATAGGTTGTTTCGGTGAAATAACTTTTGTGTCTGATTTTTGTCATCTGTTAAGCGATAGCGCCATGTTTTCTACTTATTCGCTAATTGTTACGATAAAATACCATGATTTGTCTTTTGATATACTGATTGTTAAAAGCAACATAGCTGGTATAAACAGAATAACATCATAGGCATAGTAAAATTCTTTTTCAATGACTGAAAAAAATTATTCTATCAAACAAATACACAATTGAAATTCTGGTATGTTTTAGCTGGTGTCCTTGCCGATATCTATGGTAGGAATGTTTGTTTTCTCGATTATGCTGACTCAACAGTTTTTCTGTTTTGATTTATTTTACAAACTCACAGTGACAGCTGCGTGACAATGTTGTGCAATGAAAATAGGCAAGAGATGCTCTATCAGCAAAAACCTTTCAATGCAGAACAGGTAAACGGCACACCGGGAAAAACTGTAAAAACCAATCGAGACCAATGTAAACATCATTTCAACTGTGTCAGTCGCGTTGTTTTCCAATCCGATCACGGGAGATAAGTGAATGTCTTGTCGGTGAGTGAATCAGTCATCTAAGTATACATTAACATCTCACATCATATTATTATCATTTCATACAACCAAACTTCATCAAATCCATTTCCCTCCTCCCCTTGTTGGAAATAGTATTTAGAAATAAAGGCTATGTACATATAAACCACCAGCGTACTAGCAGAAGGTTTCAAACCAACAAACGATAGATTGGCGAGTAGCCATCTGAGCGCAAAGAAAAACATTTGAGCTTTGATTTTGTATAGATTATCTGTCTCTACCTTCTTCTATTTTTCTTCCTTCCTCATTCCTGTTCCTTGATCAAAGTCTCGATGAGCGCAGCGTCTGTGATATTATTGTTAGGCGCTTCGTCGTCATACTCTGACGACCAGAGTTCGATTCAACTAATATTCTAAATAATGTCATTAGGGGGCGTAAAACTTTTACTGTTACAATTGCAATGTTAAGTTGTAAATAAGCACAGGTGTCCGTGGTGTGATGGCTAAGCTCTTTGTCGCTGATCGCCAAAATAGTATTATAATATATGTCACGCCACGTTGGAATCAGGCGCTCGTCAATTTTGGGCATATGGAGTTATTGGTATCACCTTAAAGCATGTTTATTTGTCTAGCTTTCAGTCTAGAAATTAACCATCTATCTTTAATAGATGTCGAGAAATTTGCAATTGACGGAGGTCGGGGTGGCCTGGTTTCAGAGGTAAAAATAGAGAGAAAATGGCCGCCAAAGTTTGATGAATTCCGTTGCTGGGGAGCCCTGGGAAACTGAAATTTAAACGCTTTTCACGTTTTTCAGTAAAATCCTCACAGAAATGTATTTTTAAATGGACACGAAAAATATTTAGCCAAAGTACAAAAATTTGATACAAATTGCCAAACACACGTCAAATCTTCAAGTTAATTATTTTGAAGAACGCCTGATTTCACCGCGCTGCCTCACAGAACTACGATTCCCAAGTAGTGAGGCAAGTTTTATCGAGTAGATGATAAAATACATACATGTTTCTTCGTTTAAAAAAAACCTTCAACGCTGTATTCCACACAGCTTAAGTTGGCCCTGAAAAAGCAGCATAACGCAACTCGCCACCCCCTTTTGTTTATATGACCTACGTATTTGTCTAAAACAGAAGCTACAAAACCTTTATAATCAATCTTAGAGACAGAACAGTTATTCTATAATGTACAAGAAGTTCATACATCTCATCCTCCAAGGTTATCGTAGTTTTTTTATGTTTTTAGTTTAGTTTTAGTAAAAGTTTTA